ATGTGGTGCAGGTTCAGTTGTCTTGTTTCTCCTTTATGAGAGTTTGTGAACAGTCAATTGGAATTTGACTGAAATAGTGATTAAAAAAATGTCCACAATCCTGGCTTATGACCTAAACAAGTCCATGGGTCAATTTAAAGTTCATCACAGAAAAGCAGACTTTCTGCCCTCATCTGGCTTGCTCTTTCACACTAAATCCATCTCCTGATCTCCACAGTTGCATGCACCCAAAAAATCTGAGCCACAGTAAGTCAACTGTAGGTCTCCTGAGATTATACCACAATCTCAGGTCCAAATAACACAAGTTTTTGAGTGGCATCAGTCTCCAGGTTTGGAAATTTAAGCAAATGGGAAGTCAGGAATTATGTCAGAGAACAAGAGTTTAGTTAGCAGCCATCAATGAAAAGCTCACACATGTCTTGGCAGTACAGCCCTAACTTAGGCTTAGTAACCTAGCATGGAAAGAAGCAGCACAAGCACACACACAGTATTGGGTGATAAGCAATAAACACCTTGAGTTTACAAGAATGCAAACTATTCAGTTCGTCATGGTGTAAGCAAGCAGTCAGGATATAGTCAGGACTCTCCATCATCAATCACCATGAAGAGCTTTATCATAAACATGAAATGACACTGTTCAGTCTAATCATACTTTAATCATGTAAACATCTAAACATAATTTATGTTCTTAATTATTGAAATGGGTAATCTGAGCCTCTGAAACGAATGTATTAAATTAACTATTCTCACTGGCATGAGGAGTGAGGGGGAGTTCTTCAGGTCCTAATCACAGAACCAAATACAACACAACACCTAGTACATACAGTAGAGCTGGGAAACAAACCTCACAAATCTCAATTCTGAAAAAGTATTTTTAACATGCTTTACCTCGCTGTCAATTGCTAATACCTTTCTTTCAACTGGTAATGACATGAATGGTGAGACCTGTCTTTCTCATTATACCAGATCTGAACGCTGAAGAAATAGGTTGCATAAAAACGACCATTTAACTACAAAACTGCTTATTCACATATCTCGAGGAATAGCAAGATAAAATCAACAACTTGCAACTTCAAGTAGTGAGTAAGGTATTGAATTCATAGTGCTATACCATTTGTGAATAAAATTATGCAAAATAATGCAAAACTACCAAGGAAATGTAAAGCCTCTGAGACTGTGAGAAGTAGTTCATACATTGAGAGCATGGCTTCAAGATTATATTAAGCTCCAGCTAATCCTGACTGCACAGGGAATTTCAGATATAAAAGGCCATAAATATGTTTTCTTCTGACAGAAGCAGTTGTACTGTGTCAGAGATTAAAGCAGCAGGGAACATGAGAAAGAAACACTGGAGCTGATATGCTCATTAGAGTGGACCTCACAGCCCAGCTCCCCAATGTCACACTATCTGGGACACTGGTCAGGGGTCTTCCTGGACTATGTACTGACTGCAGCTCCTGGCTCTGTTCCATGAGGAAGACAAATGCTGTAAGCAAAGACTTGAGAGTGAAAGAAAAGAAGTGCCATGGCCCTTTCTCTCACAAAGCCCAAAGAGAAAGGCTGAGAAGAAGCATGGACCTGGAAGCCCCTGCCCTCCTAAGGAGGGAGAGGGGTGACACAGGATCTCTGCAATGCACCTGCATGGGCACAAAGGGTGAGAGAGAAACTGGGTGCAAAAAGACAAGTGCTGATATTAACAGGCAATGAAAGTACACATGTGAAGGCATTTAAACAATGGAAGTACTGAAGGGATCCCAAGACAGGTCTGCAGCCAGTTGTAAAGTGGCTGAGCTGACAAAGGAGCTCCCACCAGACTATAACAACTCATGTGGAAATGGCACTGTGAGGAGCTCACCTCCCTCCTTTATACACACCAGCTGGATTTCTACTAATTTTACTACTCTGTGTCATGATGTGGATGAGATCCCTGGCAACACGGAACAAGGTTTCTAGGAAGTGGATGACAAATCCTATAACAGCTATAAAAAATACAAAAGGCAAGGAGAAGAATCTCATCCTGCATGGGTGAGACAAGCACGTAACACCTACATTTATCCTTGCCTAATCCACTAGATAGAAATTTATGTCCACTTAACAAAGTGAACTATTTAATGTCACCCCATTTGCTCAGATGAACAGACTTGTTGGCACTAGATTAATCTAAAATCTTTGGTCTTCTGTTTGCATATATCAGTGACAGTTTATAAACATAATAAATCTCCTTTAGTGCACAGTATTGTCTTCAATAACATTAAAATAAAGACTTACATTATTAATCTTTATATATTGCATTGAGATGAAAGCTGGTTCAATTAGTAAGTCATGCCACATCATTCTTTCTAAAATCTTATCACCAGTGCTGGAGTTGATATGTCACTTAACATTAGTTTTGCTTACTCTGGATATTGTATTACTATTGCTGTGCCTTAGAGGGATCATAAAGCTGACTTTCTTTTTCCTTTCCAATTCTATATCTCTCATTAGACAAACCTGCAAAAACTCCCTGCTTTAATGTTAATAGCAATCACAGCAGCACTATCACCATTTCTGAAAAGAGCTGCAGTTCCACTGAGCAAGATGTTGACAGAAACAAGTGCACACTGCAGCCCATCAAACATCCCTCCCTGTTTCCCTGGCAACACTCAGAGGCCAATACAAAGTCACTGCATCAAAGAGAAGGAAACTTGGAAGAGAGGAATAATTTCTGCACTTCAGCATCATGTCACTACTATATTTGACAGTAACCAAACCCCACAGAGATCAAGAAGATGATCAAGTGGAAACAGAGTACAAATGTATCCCTGGAAGTCTGAATGAGAAAGGGGAACAGCCATGGCTTAGCAATGCTGAGTTTTGCTCTCAGTTACAAACTATAAATCTGTGAAAGAAAAAAATGACACTAAAACCCAGCCAATAAGCATATTAACCTGATTTTTCAGTTCACTGTTTTTTTCAATGCTCATCACTGCATGGATATAGAGTACAGATGGGTCTGGTTCATTTCCCCTTTCTGCCCTTAGACATATGGCTCAAGCTGATGTTTCTGTGCTTAAGTAACTTTCTGGTTCAGCAACACTGAACCAGTACACAGTCTTACCAGTCTGTCACTCTGCAGGAAGGCTGCACTTTCTGAGCTTCTGTAATCTTTAGCAGCCAACTTAAATTGGAACTAAGGAGAAAACTCTACAGAAAACCTAATACGATTAGGTGTGTATTCAAACTTGTCTGTAAAGGCCAGTTCAAACAATTCTGCATTCAGAGTAACAGCTAGTGCAAACACAGTAGTATGTGCAAAGACAAGGCCATGATGATCTTCTTTCATGATTGTTTATATTCATTTTAGCTGGATCATTTGGCAGAAAAGTTTGATTAAACCAGAGGGAGGCTTTTTTCAGTATACCCAGTATCCTTCAAATCCTTTTTATTCCTGATCTTTCGATCCTTTTCATTAGAAGACTGAATTAATATAACATAGCTTACTAAGACAAAAATTAGTTCAGCTCACATTTTACCATTTAACCTGAAGGTTGACTTCATACGAATGATGTACCAAGTAATTTCTTTTTTTTTTTTTATGATATTGTCACCAAACATGATAAAGCTGAAAAAACTCAAAAGCCAAGAGGTTCAAGTAAGTTCTACGTGACTGTTCAGTAAGAAGTTTTTGTTTCTCCCCTCATGCTTTTCTTCCCCATATAAGCATGCTGACATGCAAGGATTTGGTCTTATCAGCTGTGAAACTGCTGCACAAAATCAGAGTAGGAATATTCAAGAATCTGTTCCTCCCACACTCACCTACAAAAGGGACCCCCAGTTCTAAGAAATACACTTCTTTATATAGTCCTCTCAAGGTTATGCATACAGCAGCTGGTAAATGATAAGATAAAGGCTTTAATCTCATTCTCTAAGTACTCCATTATTGCTTAAAAGAAGTTACAAACATTAAGTCATCCTTAAAATAAAGACATAAGTGCCCATAAAATTTTCTGTAGCTATTTACAAAGGGAGGAGCAAGAACACTTGACAAGAACCATCCTGGAGAATACAGGGGGTATGTATAGTGTAAATACTACACTCTGATGTTGGAGCATTTATGCCTCCTTATAGCACAACTGTGGGAAAATTCATGTGGGAAGCCAAGGGTGCAATATTAAATAAATGTAGTGTGAAATAATGCCCAGAGCTAGCACTGAAATCCATATAAATTATAATCCATGAATAGGAATCATATTACAATCTAGAGATATTAAACACATTTAATATTACCTTATTTAGGCAAAAAATAGGCTATAAAGTAACTACTTATGTATGAAAGTCTAACAAAGTCTTAAAATTCATATTTCTCTTGAAGGCAGTTGGCAGACTTGTAGGGGGGATTAACTAGCACAGAAGAATTTGTAAATTTCAGAGCTTGAGGTCATTTTTGGAGAGAGGTTAGGAGGAAATTACCTATTAATATAAACAATATGTCGTTAATAGGTCATTTCAAAAACATTCATTGAGGGTTTTTTTCTGAAAAACTAATTTGAATGGCAAAACTTCATAGGCTTGAGAGAAGTAAATTCTACCCTGCAATAACCACTTGTGTTCAGATTCTTAATTATAACAACAGGGTAGCTTGTTCATCTTTATTGAGAGAAACTTTTCTCTAACTATGGGATAAAGAATAGAGGCAGAACCAGTGACCACAAGACCACTGGCACACCACACCAAACCCACATTTTTGCACGTCTCCATGCTCTCATGCTTTAGAATTCCTTGCTCATTCATGCATGAAATTCTAAACTATGACAAATACAAGTAATTCATGTTGCAAGGCAGGAGTCTGGCTGTCACTTTATGCACTCTCAGTTTCCAAAGAAAAAGGCTCTACTACCCTTCAAGTTACAGAAATCTTCATGGACAGAATGCTTTCCTTTGTTTTCAGTAGCCCATTGAATTTCAAATATGGATTTTAACAAAGTAGTCTGTAAAAGTCAGTAATATTACTTGTCACTTACTTGGCTTAGAGTTAATGATGACATTTTCAGCAGAGAGCTGGGGTGGGAACCTGCAGTTGTCTCCTTGGCCCTCACTGCTGCCATACTCTATGACGTCCACTTGTCCCAGCGGTACACTCCACTTCAGTAAATACCTCTGGCCAGTTGTCACACTGCCACTGCTTTCATAGGAAGAGCTGAAAGATGCACAAATTACTGCTGTGACAAGCAAGTGTGTTTCATGGCATACTATTTATTATTTTGGCCTCTAAAATCTACTGTTTAGCAGCTTGAGTACAGTGCACAACTTGAAAGAAATACACGCATCAGGCTGACTTTCATGACTGACCTTTCCTGGCATGCAAAGAGCAGCCATGCAGGTGCAGATAATCTGGTCTACAAACATCAAAGGACTGCCAAAACCAATTCTTATATTTCTATACCAAAACATAAATTACTGTCTTTTAACATCAATGTGCAATCTGAAATCCTAATACAAGTGCTTGGGATTATACTTTGGCTCCACATTTTTCTTATTTTTTTTTAGCACTTCTTTTTGGGTCCTAACTGCTATGTTTAGGAGAGTACAGATGATGGGACCTTTGAATGACTACTGGCAACAGGAAGGACAATATAACCTCTGAAGGGCTGACAAGCCAACATTTCTGCCAAGCCCCACAGCCCAGACTGTTCTGTACAGCAAACCTCTGCATCTGCTGCAGCTTCCAAGAGTAATCCTGCCTGAGCTGCTGCTTAAGAAGTGTGCACCACAAGAGGCATTTCAGAGGAAAGAGCACACTGAGGAAGCTCATTAGGAATAGAAATGACATTAATACTAATTTTACTTTGTTTATGTCATTCTCTTATTCCCATTCAAGAACTAGTAACAAACATTTATTACAAAGGACAAAAGAAATGTTAAAGTGAACAAAAAAGGTTTACTTCACAGAAAGTATGACTGAAATCCAGTAGTCAAATGCTTGAGAGAAACCAGCAAAATGCATTTACTGAGAACAGTAACTAAATGCTGAACTTCAACTAGTCAGCTAACTATTTGCAACACAGACTTTTGTTTCAATGAGGAAACAAGTACGAACAAAGAGCACAACTACCATAAGTTAAGTAAATATTTATAAATTCTTGACCTAGCTCAGAAGAAACAAGAAAAAATAGGCAGGGCACATTTGTTCAGCCACTAGAGACAGCATCCATCCCATCCAGCTGCTGTTACTACAGAGTTAGGCCACCAGCTCCTGTTGGTGTCATCTAGACTGTGTGAAAAGAAAGACCTGAGGGTCGTGTCATCTGTAAAAATATCTCTCTTTTGCAAAACAGGAATACTCAAACATCCCAGGTGCCTAGGTTCCACTAGTTACAGAGGAATTTTCTATGGCTTGCAAAAGATACTTACTTTTACAGAGGACATGACCCTTGAGGGTCAGACTTGGCATGATCATGAACTTTTAACATGGAAAACAAAAACAGAAAATCCAAGACTTTACTGGTATGGAAGAAGATAAAATATGAACAGTTAAAAAACAATATCCAACTGTTACTAAGAAAGTAAAGAATTTGTAAAGGTAAGGATCACAGGATAATTGACATGAGCTTGTTAATTTTCTGAAGCGTAGTTATTACATGGCACTTCCCAGTCACTGTCATGAGACCAAGCAATCACACACTCAGAAATATATGTACAGGACTCATACATCAGCAATGAATTAATGAATAGACTCATATTATACTTAAGAAAAGCTGTTCTTGGAAGATTTTAATGATCCACATTCTCTTGGTCAGAAGGTACCACCACATAAAACAATTTATGATACAATGCTTTTTTCACAGCATTTCACCTTTAATCCTTCAATGTTTGGTCTCAGAGATAACAACCCTTCCCCATCTGGAACTTTGCTAGTGAGTTCCAGGTGTGTTCTGGCTACCTGTATTAACCATTAACTAATGGATTTTGGTTTGTTTGTTTGTTGGAGGTTGTTTGTTTGTTTTGCAGAGGGTTGGATTACATTTACAAGTTGTGTCAAGTTACCAATCTATGTGTGTTACAGTTTGAATTTAAGGAAGAAGAGAAAGAAGTGTTACCTTGGCATGCCTGTATTCCACTAAGCACTAATACACAAACACTACAGAGCATTTCTTTCTGTAATCTCCAACTGATATAATTTTCTTACAAATTTACTATAGAACTTCCAAATATCAGCCAGCAATTTGGAGGAGTATAACAAAGCTAGTTATCCATTTATTATGACTACTCCTAGAAACCATTAGCCACAGAAAAAACAACACAATGGCAATTTCCATCTGAAGTTCAAATGATCATCTAAAAAATATAAATTAAATCTTACCGAATATTTACTGTTGCACACATCAGCACATCATTTAACATGAAAAGTCGCCGTTCTTTGGTTTTGGTAATTTCTCCTTTGTCATTATAAACTGTTTCAACCATGTCATCAGTCCGTATGAGGTATCTGTTTCCACTGCTGAGTAGCTGGATTTTGAAAACAACCAGTATTGTATATTATACACTTTACATCCAACATCAGCACATAAAATACAAAAACAATGGGTTATCACTTGCCATCCTAGCACAAGTGATTGCAGGTGGATTTGCCAAGGGAATTAGGTCTCTTTATAGATCTGTTTTTGATTTAGAGAAACAGTAAATTCTGGTGCCCATGTGGGCTTAAAGGGCTTTGCATCTTAATGCAGATCATGGTTGCTCTGGGAATCTTCCACACTGATAAAGGTTTCTTGGCCAAAAAAATGTTTCCTTCCACAATATCTCTGATTTCCTTCCTTAGTCCCTTCTTTCACAGTCTACTGAAACCTACACTTGATTCTAGCTGCCCAGAATGGAGGCCAGAGTGCAAAGAGGAAGAGTGTTCAGCCTGCTCTGTCCCCTGGGCTCACACAGCTGAGGAATGCAGCTGGCAGGGTGTCCCAGACTGTGGAGAAGATACCATTTCCAAGAGATCCTTGGCATGTAAATTGCTTCTGACATTTGTCTTCAAAGGCTAAGGATCAGCCACTGTGTGCAAGTGTGTACTAGTCCCTTGTCAAACACACCTCCATAGTGTCCAACAGAATAAAAGGGTCCAAAACTCACTAGTTTTCTAATCAACCACCTATTTTACGCTGGCTGGCATTGTTCCAAAACTGTATACGCAAATACACAGGCTCAGGAGGGCCAACCATGTCCTGGGGGGCATCAGGCCCAGCACTGCCACTCAGGCAAGGAAAGGGAATGTCCTGCTCTGCACTGGCTTCACCTGAATATTGTGTGCAATTCTGGCTGCCATAATGTAAGAAAGGTATGAAGCTATTAGAGTGTCCAAAGGAGGGCTTCAAGGATGGTGAAGGGCCTTGAGGGGAAACTGTATGAGGAGTGACTGAGGTCACTTGGTCTGCTCAGTCTGGAGAAAAGGAGACTGAGGGGAGACCTCACTGCAGTTACAACTTCCTCATTCTTCACCCAGAGGGTGGCTGGGCACTGGAACAGGCTTCCCAGGATAGTGGTCAAAGCCCCAAGCCTGATATAGTTCAGGAAGCCTTTGGACAATATAATGTCAGGCACTTGGTGTTATTCTCGGGGGTCATCTTGTGCAGAGACGGGAGCTGGACTCTATGGTGTGGGTCCCTTCAAACTCAGCTGATTCTGTGATATTAACACACAAGGTCTGTGGGACTCTGTGAGATTTGGAGTGAATATTCATGTATATATCAATGAATCCTCCACTTCATAACACACAAAACCTTACAGTCAGTATCAACTGACAAAAGGTAACCTGGGCCACCTCTTCAAAAGCACATTCTGTATCTTGGAGCTATTTGCAGATGATTAATAGCTGCTTCAAGAAGCAGGATTTTGACAACTAGAAAAGAAAGTAAAATGTTTGAATCCATCTTCTAATGCACTTAGAATGGAAATACTGTTCTAGTATGACAATAAATTCAGTATTTCATTCCTGGTAAATAGCTTAAAAGAAGCATTTTCTAGTTGATTATTACTTTCCTAAAATATGTGCTTTTATGTATCAACAAAACCAATCCCATTCCTTCAGCACATCCCCACTACTTTATCTCAGAAGTCCCCAGGATAATAACCTGTAACTTGACAAAAGCAGTAATTGAAGCATTTATGCCCCACTTCACAGGAAAGAAGGAATCATTTATGATACAAATAAAACAATCATACATATATCCACAGTACAGATAGTTACTAATAAATTCAAATAAAAATGGTTGTTCCTTTCTTCTTATTGAATGTCCTCTAGAGTTCTTTCCAGGCATTTCTATTGTATGATACAAATATATGAATGAAATAGACTGAGATTTTCCTTAAAACAAGGAACATGTTGGACCCACTCAACAGCACATCCTGAAATCCTTCATAGTTGGAAGCACTGCTGTATAAGGATATGGTTCCTTTCTTTACACAGGAGTAATTCCTCACTTCTAGGAAAAACTAAAAGTTGAATTTTTCCATGCAGAAAATGTGCATGAGATTTTACTATATTTGCTACACTGCTACAGAACACCAATACTGCTGAGGCTAGTTCATTGCCCATTCCAGCATACAGTGGTGAGCCTGTTCAGTCCCAGAGGTAGGTCACATCTCACATTTACCACTAGAATTCCCCATTCTGGTTGAGCTCTACAGAAAAAACCAACATAGCTGTCTCTTTGGTCTCTATTGTGGAGATTACTCAAGGCCCAGAAACTGACTATTCCATTTCCATTATACTTTCCTACTTTCCTTACTTTGTTCAGGTAACGTTCATTCATTGCTTTTGCTATTTGTTTTATTTCACAACGCTGATCTGCATCCCTTTTCCTTTCATTTAACTTCTCTGCCAGTGTCTCAAGTTCTGTAAGAGCCATCTGTAGAGGTAATCTGTCAGGATGTCCTTTATTAGTGTTCTTCAACATATCCTGAGGGGTAATTATATTAAAAAAAAAAAAATAAAAAAATCAAATTTATTTTCAAAGTCAGGTTCCAAAGATTACAGGATGAACAGTTACAACTACATTCGTTACTTAAAGATTACCAATAAACATCTAATGAATGTTCAGACAGCACATTGTTTAACTTCTGGAATATCTTAGTAATTCTTTAAACTATATGGAATGGGATCACATACATTCTTATTTAAAGAAAAAGTTACAGAGACGGGACATAACATTAAACAATCTGGCAATTAGTATTATACTATAATACGTACATGTCTATAAATAATGATTTAAAATGAAAATTTTATGCTATTTACAATCATAATATTGTATTATCTTTATTACTGTTATTATTCCTCATTAAAACATGGACAGCATACTCCTACTGAAGTAGGAGATATTACTTCATTAAGGTCACAACAGCTCCTCCAAGTCTTTCTCTTTTGTAAGCATACAGTAGGAACAGTTTGAATTATACTTTGTCTCCACTGCCAGAGCATTTCAAAATCCCTATATATTTACTCTGTCTTCCTGCCATAATAAACCTGATCGTTCCTACTACTTCAAAAACCTTCACCATGGCTTCTGACCCACATGCTTCCCCCACGACTACCTCTGCTCCTTTACCCACAGTAATTCCCAGACCTGCAGCCCAAAGCCTGTCCTCCTCTGCAGCACCTGCAAGCACAGCTAACACACAGTGCTTACTGGGGTAGATCTGCTGTGGTCTAGGAGGTACAGAGTAAATTTGCCTGCAGCACATCTCTTCTGAGTAACTGTGCTCTTCCTGCAGTTTGACTACCTGTTGTGATGAGACCCAAGGAGTCCCTGTCAAATCTGTAGTTTCCATGAGAAGAGAAGCAAGATGCTGCAGGTCAGAAGGAAGCTGCAACATACTCTAGCAGGTCCTGTGAGCCAAGTAGTCAGAGAGCATACTGTTCTGCATCTCATACATATTTTAAACTATCCAAGACATTAATTTAATCCTCTTGTTTTTTAATTCCATGGAAAGTAATATGACTAAGTTCCTATCACGTTTTGAAGCATTACTAGCTAACAAACAGATACAAACAAGTAGCATACTTGAGCAACACCTTTACTAGAAAATTATTTATAAGCTATATTTTACTCAACAAGTAATCTATAGTAAATCTAGTATACTAAGGCTTTCTTGCAGTGCCCTTACTGCCTGTCCCTGCAACCAGACTATGAGATCAGCATGCTTAACACACTGAAGTTTTCTCTTTATTTCCCCATGATCCTCTAACAGAAGACAGCTACCATGTAATCCCAAGGGTAAACTATGCAAAAAATGCAAAAGGAGCCCCCTTTGGTAAACAATATTTACCTGCAATAATAGAATGAACTGTGGAAAACGTTGGATAGGTTTCATCATTAAACCATACAGTGTAATGCGATCAGGGCTTGATTCCTGACATTGCTGCAATGCAAAAAAGCCACATTTACTACCATAAGCACATTTCCACCAGTTACAGAATGAAAGGAAAACATTTCTTAAAAATTCTTCTACATTGCTTACATTAATTATAAAAGGAACACTATAAAGATTCAATTTACTATCAAGGTTTAATTTAAAAATATTAAATCCTAGAAAAACTCCTCATTATTAAAAATGATGGCCTGCCACTGAATTCAAATATCCTTCTTAAATAAATACAGCTGGGCAAAAGCCACACCAGCAATGCAGCACCTACAAATCTAAAAACCTACCTATGGGTTTTTAAGAGGAAATCTAAAAAAACCATCATAATCTCAGTGCTATGCAAAGAGAAATTTTGATCCTCCTTATTGGAAAAAATGAAGGAAAAAATGTTGATTTATATTTGGAAAGAAAAATATTAGAATCCATTATTTCAGTTACCAGGAATGGCAGATAGAACCAGACAAATTTCTTTTGCATGTACAAAGAAGCCAGAAATGGTCAGAAATACGAAGGTTAGAGGAAATACCAAATATTAAAAACCAAGCAAATCTACATTATATTCAACTGGTGTTGTGCTTAAATTGCTATTTATTGCTACAACTATCAGCTTCACAGCAATTTATTTTCATAGTTATCTATACAAACATCTATTTTTTTCCAAACAGTAGAGAATTTGATCTTCATTGCTGGTGGGCAAATGAAAAAAGGTAAAGAAGTGTCATCTGTCATCAGAGTTTGGCTGTATTTCTGCAAGTAGAACCAGTGTGGCACTGACAGTGATGAGAGGTGTGGGTTATGTCTATTGGAAAAACACGCTTTTAACAGTAGAAGTATGATGACATTACACACTCACTAGAGAGTCTGATCTTCATGCTGCTTAAGGCTTTCAGCATATCATCCTGCACAGAGTTGTCCACACTCCAAAAAGTTGTTAGTTAATTTAAGATGTGAAGACAAACCCCTGCCACCCTGCTCTAGGCAACTTAAGCTGCACTAGGCACCCAATTTTAGTGTTTTGTGGACCACTGTAACAGACCTGACAGGGTGACCAGCTCTGAGAGGCACAACTCAATTCAGGATGCTTGGGGAATGAGACAAACTGAGCTTTCAGACTCAATGTCACAGACATCCCAAAAGCCTTGCCATGGATTCTGTGTACAATTTCTAAGGTGTCAACTCTAGGGATTCACAGCACTTCTACTGTGTGTGACAGTAGGCTCTCCACACACATCATGACAAGCATCATATGCAACAGGGTAGTATGCATTCTGCAAAAAAAGCACCAATTTCAACCCCAAGCTAGAAACACAATCTGCGGAATGAAAATACAGCTACACTACTTCTCACAACACAATAAACAAATCAGAGTTTGAATAAATTTCAAATTAAAAAGTGGCTTCATATGGTGAACTACTATTATTTGAAGTTCATCTGACATGGAAGAATCCTTATGTTTAGCCAAAATAAAGTAATGCAAACACCAATAAACTGATTTGAATAACAATAAAACTACTGTGCACTTCAAAATACATCCCAGATCTAACAGCACTTTACTATGCCAAAAATACAATACTGGAAGGGCATCCTCTGGGGCTTTTTTGTGTCAAACCCATAAAACAGACCTTAAGTCCATAAAAACAGTAAGACAATATACAGTATCAGCAGTCAAATTTCCTCCCAAATTATAACTCATACTTTCTTCTTTATCACACATGCACAATTATTTTAACATTGAATGAACTAACCTTTAAGAAGTCTAAAAAAGCAGGTTTGGTGGCACAAGATTTCTTGAGAATCCCAACTGCAGTACTGAAGTTGTTTACATATTCACTGTATGCATCCAATACCATAGATTTAGAAAACTGAAAAGAAAAAAGGGCAAATCCTAACTAAAAATACAAAATACCTCTGGCTATTAGGGACTTACTCAGAGCTAAGGGCTTTGTTTTGCCTAGTGTTAGATATATAGAAATACTGGTAATGCCCAAAATAATCTTTCTGCAGAAGACAGGCTGGAAACAAAAGGATATAACAGCTATATAATACATACACGAAATGTATTTAAAGAAATTGCTTCATCTTGGCTAGAACACTGGGGCAAAACCTGAGGACCATGGGCAGTCAAAGGGCATCCACTGAGATTCAAAGTAACAGTTGAGATCCTCAGATCATCTCACTACCAGTGATCTCACTTCCAGATTAAGTGAATCAGCAAAGTCCCAGGGCTTTCACACCCTGACTTCAGCTATTAAGGACTTACCCAAAAACAGACAGATTGTGTGGAGTTACCATAGGAATGATAGGATCACCAACCATTCCCTTCTTGGTAATTTTATCCCTCTCTTTCTGGTCTCATTAAGACTATCTAATTTGCTTCAGTCACAACAAGGCAGATTTGCTTTAAACAAATCTTTAGTTAACTATTTCATTTTGGGTAAACTGTGATCAGATCCCAGGTCTCTTACAGCAGGCATGAAAAGGTGGTGATTTCCAGCACCTGGGTGGCAATAAGACAAAGCATTCAAGCCAGAAGGCAGGCAGCCTGTTAGAGCCACACTTTCATGGTGAACAACGTCTTTCTATCAACCAAGGCACCTTCTTGTTTTCTCTAATTTAAAGCAGTTAATTAGAACAGCTAATTCTGTCTTTTAATTAATTACATTTCCAAATTTCCATTCAGAAGGATATGATAGGATAGAGGTTTTTTAATGTTCTTTATCAATGCTCCATCTCAGTTCAAACTCAAGAATTCAGGACATTACCTGCTGTGGTTTCTTTCTACTTGCACACTACTAGGTATGACCACCCATTTTTTATGAGAAGCTGAGCCTCAGCCTCACCTTAATTTTGGTAGGTTTGTAATATCTAATTTCTCATAAAAATAAACTTTTTACTGAAATGTCTGCAAGATTAATCAAAGCCTGATAACTTTTCTCACAATCCTTTCACATCTGCCAACCAAGCTGAAGACATGTGTTGGTGTCAGTTCCCTTATCAGGATAGTACATTCATACTCTGACAGTTGCCACAGGCATTGGAGAACATGAGAATAAAGCAGCTAAGTCAGAAAGATATGGAGATGGAAAAGCAAGACTAAAATAAAAACAGATTATCTGTTCTGACACATTTGCTTACTGAAGCAACAAAGACATCACCGATCATTTCAACAGAATCCCACTCAGATACACGACTCGCCAGTGCAATCTGAAACATTGAATGGCACTGAAGAATTTCCTTAATTCGATAAAAGACCATTTTAAGTTTTCTTTCACTTAGTAGTTTTGGTTCCATATCTGAAAGGGGCTTCTCATATTGCTGTGGGGAAAAAAAAAATTGATTTAAACAAACAAAAAATGGACTTTTGTAAGTAGAAAAACAAACTTATGCAACAGTACACACACACACACACAAATCACTGAATGTTTGGCATGAAGCATCTGTAGTAAAATCTCTATTAGTCATATGACAGATTCTTTAATTATCTTTAATTAATCTTTTTCTTTAATTAATCTTTATCTTTTTTTATTCTTCTTTAATGATTCTTTTTCAAATATTCAAAATTTTAAAATGCAAATGATATTAAGGTACCTCCAGGATTCTTTTGAGAGCATCCACATAATTCTTCTCACTATCTACCACAGAGCCCAAAATATACCTTCTCACAACCTGTTGAAACAACAAAGTTTTGTCCAAAACTCTAATCAGGTAATTATTAACATTACAGTTAATAATGTTAATTACTATTAACATTATAGTTGAAATTATGATGATAAAATTCTCACATTAATAAAACAAAAGAAATACAAAGCAATTTCAATACTGGAACTGCAATAAATAATACTGTACACCTTTTCAAAAGTAATTAAATTTACTATTACTCTAAAACTACTTATTTTAAAGAACACAACAATTATTGTATCAGTATCTTAAATTTTTTACTGACTGTTGTAATTCCAAGCTCTACTTTTGAAACTTGTGTTTTGACTTTGGCATTTAACAATGTCTCAGGCACCTGGTGCAATTTTTAGGGTTGCCCTGTGCAGAGCCAAGAGATGGACGTCAGTGATCCTAGTGATCTTCTAAATCAGGATATTCTATAATCCTATGCACCTTAAATGTCTATATGTAGGCATTAATGGAAACAATCATAGGTATAAGATGATGTTGACTACTTCATTGATTTGCTACAACAAAATGGGCAACAATTTTTCAAAAATAAGTCCTAAATTTTATTTTTTAATAGGTTTTATAAATTTATTAGGAGCAACATGAAGGGTACACAAGCAAATACTAATTGCCTTTTAAAGTTAAGGCCATATAAACAGTACCACTGAGAACATATCCAAGTCAGCATTCTCTTTTGAGCATTACCATGCAGAGATGAAAACCCCCATATTATCTATATTTATATGCATTGACAAGAGTTGTAAGAGTTTCAGGAAAAGCTACCATATTTCATGTTAAACTACAGGCTATTTATTACACCTCCTTCTCCACCTTCTGCTTCTGTAATTCAGCTCAAATGCACTTTGTATGTACATGCAGGTGGCACAACAGGAAAGACTGGAGAACCAATCTGGTTTAGAATTTAAGCTTCTTGCCATCAATTGGCTTTCTTGTTGGTTATAAGGATTTGTTTTCACCCAAATCTATTTCCTAATCCAGCTCTCCCTGGAGTTTTCAAAAGGGGGACTATGAGGAAGAAAACAGCACAGGGGTAGGATCAAACCATTTTCCATAACTACAAGAGAAGGAAAAACTGCTCATTTTGATATTTTGAGCTAGCCTAAATGACCATGAAACTCAAATCTCAGGCCTGCTTCTTTCTGCTTCAGAACCCCACAGCCTCCTGCCTCTTCTACCATCACTGCACTGCCTACACTTGTATTTTGAATTATTAAATGCACATTAAATGAAAATTTTCTCTCTGGTACTGGCATTTCAAAGGAGGACCTCAAAATTATCTGAGGCTTTGCTTAAGATATATTCAGTAAAATTAGTTGTGTCTAATCTGTGTTTAGAATGGATTTAGCAGTGTCTTATTTGGTACAGCGGATCAGCGGCTCTGGTGAAGAATACTAATCCTACTTTTAGTCACTGTTCATTCTTCTAAAAAGAATAAACATCTGTAGAAATAAAAATTTCAGGCTCTCTAACACACAAAAAGAATACTTAATAGTGGCTTCAGGTGATTGCAATAGATATGAGCCCCAGCCCCCGCATGCAGCAGGATTTAAACAGAGGCCATCATGCCACCTGCTGTTCCAAGTCAGCATGTCCGCCGAGCAGCTCTGCTGTGACAGGGCAGCTGGGCTGGAAGGGGGTCCTGGCCTGGGGTGCCCGGGCTGTGATCTCTTCTCATTGCCAGACTATTCTGCCCCCCGCCCCCCCAGAGCTGCTCCAGTGTTTCTGGTGCACCCCAGCCCCCAGAGCCCTGCTGACCCGGAGCCAACCTCCCACACACAGCTGCTGCACCCCTCCAGTTTGGCATCACCTCCAGATGTGCACTGCAGCTGGCATCCAGATATTCATGCAGGCTTTAAATGCCTCAGCCTGCTCCTGAGGGACAGCACTAATGCTGACCACCCACTGCACCTTGTACCATGGACTCACTGAGCATGGCATCCTCACCTATTTTCCACCCACCTTTTAGTCCACCCATACAGACTGTATCTTACCTACAGGAGTATAGGAATACTTTGGAAGACAGCTGAAAGCCCTGTTAAAGCAGAGGTAAGTGACACACTTTGCTTCTCTCTGCCCATAAAGTCATCACAGTCACCTCTTCTCTCAGTCACCTCAAAGGGGCTCAGGCTGGTCATGCACAAATGGACTCTGCTCATCTATGCTGATTTTTCCCCACTCACCCTCCCGTCCTACTGAACGCAGACACAGCTCCCAAGAGCATGTGTTCCATCACTTTTGTTGGGACTGAGGTGAGGCCAGACTCAATTCTCCTTCTTGTGGGTAAGAGTGTGACACTTTTTCCCATTCTTTTGATCACTGCGATCCAAGATGACTGAGAAAGGCCTTTCCCACAGCATCCTTATATCCACCCCATCTCTTCCTACAGACACCTGTATGTCCAAATGGCCTCAGCTCAGCTGCAGACTAGGCTTCACCCCAGCAGACCTGCCTCTGGGCTCATGGGCTGAGTCCTGAGAACAAGCCTCATCAGCAAAACCCAAAACAGAGGTGGCAAAGTTTTGACCCTTTATCAAGGGTCTGTGCCCCACCAAGCAGCATATCATGTTTTTCTCAGCTTCCTTTTGTTGCCAACATAGTTATCAGAAACTCTTCACTGTTGCCCCTCACATCTCACTACCTCCAACTGAGCTTTGGCTTTCCTAACTGCATGCCTGCCCACTTGGACAGCTTCTCCTGGGCAGATAAGCAATATTTGTCACAACTTACACAACTATTACCAGTTTGTTCCAAACTACAAGCACTCTGTGGTATTTTTGCAAAAGAGGGTAAACTTATTTTTACAAAATACCCTGGAGAAACTCAAATTCCTATTTGGAAAGAAGGAAAGAGCATTCAGACTGAAATCTCATAATAAAACCTTACATTAATGAAACACAGTTTGGTAGTTGCATTCTTACAAGATTATCACTTCACTGTGCTAAACACAAGAGAAAAGTAAACCTCATTCAAGTAAAAGGTAAAACAACAACAAAAAAATTCCAAAAATATATAGCACTCTCCTCAATTGCCCCTTAGTTTGTTTTTTTGCTCATTTTCTTAAGGTACTTGACCAACTAACTCATGACTTGACACCCCAAGAAGCTAAAAGCTCTCATACAGTTATTAGTAGTCATAACAATACAGTGACATGAACCCAAGGGATTTATTTTCAGCCAAAACTTCTTAACTGATGCTGTTTTCAGTATTTTTGCAGTGATTTCCACAGTGACTATACAGTTTGAGGTGGAGAACAACAAAATAAACTCTTCTGTAAACTTGACTTTACTAGGGATTATTTTTTTTTTTAACCACAAAAATACTTTAGATTCAAAGAGCATACAGGATATTCTCTATATTTAAAATTGAAATCCCAGAGCACCTGGAACAATGTCTTCTGGTTCAATAAAAACACTTTAACTCTCTTCTTTTTTTCCCTCATGACCATCACATTCAGTTTCATCACATTCAGGTAGTAAAACAATATAGTTCTTATAGATAATTTTATAATGCAAACCAGCATTTTGCACCTCTGGGCGAATTCAGGATTGATGCAACTATATGCACACCCACCAATTTTCAAAAAACTACTCATTCAGTTCTGAATTTGATGTCCACTTAGGTAAAATGCCTATATATTTGAAGACCAAAGGCAGCTAAGAGCCATTGGTGCAGAGCAGAAGGGGAGATGAGAGGCAGAAGACCATATTTCCCAAGGCTTACTACCTGCTGCTGTGATAATCCTTCAGGCATAGGAGTCATAATCGCTTCTGTATGCATACAGTCCACATCAATAAATAAATTTAGCTCTTCTTCTTCCAGACAAGATGATCTATGATCTACAAATAAATAACCAAAATGTCAGCTTCTACATGTGGATTGAAAGAACAAAAAAGCAAAACCAAGCCAAAAAAGCAAAGGCCCTATTGTCCAAACACAGAAATTATAAATTTTCAATTACCAAACAAAATAAATTTTCCAGCACTTCTGTATCATCTATGAAATCACATAAATGCTACCACCAATAGGCATCTAATACAGAACACCTTTCAAAGGCATCCTAATATCCCACAGCTGGAGACAGCCTGAGCATCTTTTGCTTGACTTCTACTCCCTCCCCTCAGCCAGGAGAATGGGGCTGTCCAGAGGGCAGGACATGACAACTTGGGTTAAAGCACTGCAGCTCCAGGGCCAGCAGTTTTAAAATAAATGGTCCCTGGAAGAAACTGAAAACATCCATATCGTGATCCAGCTAAAAAATTCCATACACCCTTCCATAGCTAACCTGAAGTAACCAAATTAGTCAAAATGTTTGCTTTCATCAGAAAGGAGTGAGAGATTCTGCATTGCTCTCTGGGTAAAAATTTTACTGAAAAAGCACTACCGAAGTGTACTGATAGATGGCAGTAAATAGCCAGCCAAACAACCAGACAGGAGGAAAGGAGACAAAGAACAGTATGAGAAACTGTCTTGGAATAAAAAGAGAAATAAGGGAATAAGGAGACCTGATGTCTAGGAGAAACTTGTGAGTTTAGTTTAAAAAAAATTTCACTAGCTCCCTGCTGGTTTGGAAAGTTGTTATGGGATTCAGCCATCCCCAGATACACTGTGTCTGCAACCTAATCTCTAGAAATGTAAGGAGGAATGCCAGGTCCATTGTAACACCACCCTGCAGATCATTTTCATCTGTTCAACAGCAAGAAGTTGAGGATACACTTAATGATCACCTCATTTTTTGTACCTTTCTATATTCAGTCTGTGAATTAAGTAAATTGAGAAGCAGTCAAAAGTCATGACAGAGACGTAAGATGTGTCTCGGCCCATTCAGAAAGGATGCAACTTTATGTTACGCCTCTCAGTAAAGATATTTTGTTCCTGCCTTGTGGTTTTAGCTTCCTAAAATTGTAGTTTAATAAGCTCTGAAGGTACTACCATTTAATTAGTTGGGCAGAAACTTGAGCAGAAAGATATACTAACCCTCAGACTTATCTGAAAAAGAAACTAGTTGAATTTACTACCACCTGTCTTTCAAAAAAATCACCTGTGGACAGCTGCTGCCAAGGCTCATGACAAAGGGCTGTCACTTGCTATCAACTACAGAAAGAATACAAATACCTCTGTGGCTTTTTGATTTTACGTCACTCTTTGTTTTTCCAACCCAAATTCAGCTTTCATCAAAAATCATCAAACTGACTAAGCAGTACAGTCCTCTTCCCTATTTTCACTTGTAAACACGGAAAGCATTACTCCTTACCAGTGATGAACTTTTTAAAATAGCTAACTACTTCTCCACTGAAAACCATGTCTTAACAGCACATTTTCCTGACATTCAGGAGTTATTTGATGGAAAGACCAGGGCAGATTTAGTAACTGTGCTGGTTTTGGCTGGGGTAGAATTAATTTTCTTCACAGTGGCTAGTATGGAGCTACATTTTGGATCTGTGCTGGACACAGGGTTGATAATACAGAGATGTTTTTGTTATTGCTGAATAGGGTTTACACAGAGCCAAGGCCTTTTCTGATTTTTGTACTGCCAGGCTGGCTAGGGTACTGAGGGTAGATGGGAGGCTGGAAGGAGACACAGCCAGGACAGGTCACCCAAACTGACTAAAAGGATATTCCAGACCACCTAACATCCTGCTCAGTATATAAAGTGGGAGGAAGGTGGAGTAAGGGTAGGGGACGTTTAGAGTGATGACATTTGTGTCCCAAGTAACTACTATGTGCAATGGGGCCCTGCTCTCCTGGAGATGGATAAGCACCCGCCTGCCCTTGGGAAGCAGTAAACTGGTTCCTTGTCTTTCTTTGCTTGTGTGTGACTTTTATGCTCACTATCAAACTGTCCTTATCTCAACCCACAAGTTCTCACTCTTAGCCTTCTAATTCTCTCCCCAGTCCTGATGGTAGGGGAGTGAGTGAGTGGCTGTGTGGGGCTTGGCTGCTGGCTGGGGTTACACCATGACAGTAAGTTAACATCACTTCCATACTCCCATCTACCTGTACCTAGGGCACACTGCTTGGTGGGATTTTTTGTTATTAAGTCAACCCTTCTCTGTGGTCCTCAGTTTCTCAGGTCACTCAGGTACTTGCCCCAAGCAGAAAAAACTGCTCAAGATGCATTGACCATACTGTCATCTGAACTGAATATTATACCATACATTTTTTATACATCTGATTTCTTGCATCTAGCTCTCAGTTCTCACTACAAAAATTTGCTAGGCCATTCATCTTCTATCTCAGAAATTACTAGAGAATTTAACAAAGAGAAACACTGTAAAGACCATATACCTTGAGAAATGAAGGATTTTGTCCGAATGAAAGAACGACCCTTCTTCACAGCTGCTTTTGTCTTTTCAAGTCCATCTTTGGTACCTTCTCTAGCAGCTCTCATAAGCTTTTGCATCTGTAAGATAAAAAATATAGTCTACATGTTCAGTGAATAATAGAAAAACATTTGAACCTGCACACTTTTAGGCTATCAATATTGTCCAAATGAATATATTATAAGTAGAGAGAACCATGAAAGCTCAGAGCCGAGCTCCTGTATTCCAAAATAAAGTAAAAAGTGGAGACAAGGACTTACTTCATGGCAATACTGTATGCAAGTCTAAAAGAGCAAAAATGCTTAAGAACCCTTCCGCATTCAAATAGAAACTTTAAATAGTCTCAAATGTTATCTTATGGAACAAATGCCTACTACTCACAGGTCATTAATGGCCAGAGGTCTTGTCCATCTTTCAGTGTCCCAATAACTCTTCCAAAGTATTTCTGACCTAAAGATAATCCCCTAGACTCAGTTATATATTAACTGTATTCTTAAACAAACACTATTATAAAGGAAAAAGTTAAAACTAATAACTTCATTATTGAAGAAATACATTAATTTAATTAAGAATTCCATAATCTTACAGTACACTACTACAGCCAAATAAATTTCATGGAACAAAAAAAAAACCAAACAAACCAAAAAACCAAAGAAATTTAGCTTTGCTGGAAAATGTTTATTAAAATACCCTGCTTTGTACCTCCCCTTTCCCAAAATGTCACCACAACAAAAATATCTCCACTACTGTCAGAACACAAACAAAGCTGTCTTGCTGCAGCCAGGCAATTTCTGGGTTTGAGATTCAAGCTTTTAGCAAAAACCCAGTCTTTCATACCATTCATTCATTTCTCCACCCAGAATGGAGAACAGGGAGACTCACAATTTCATCCTAGCTAGGGTTAGGATAGCCCCATGGAGCCAAGGTCTCAGAGAGGCACTAGGGTTGTACACTTGGCTCACACTCTGGGAGAAGGGCACCAGTCAGCAGAGAAAGACAATTCCCTATCTCATTTTCTGAGACTGCTACCATTAAAAGTAAGCATGAGAAAGAGTCCTCGACCAAGTATTTTTAAGACTATAGCAATATTATAGTCTTTAATTTAAGACTGCACAATAAAAATTCAGGACATTCAGAATTAATTTCATACAAATTATTGTCTACTTTTTCAAGCTATTAATAAAAGACAACATTGTCTGTGTTGGAAAAGCAATTATTTAAATGTAGCTAGTTACAAAAATCAACTATACTACCTTCAGCTCATGTTTTTGCTTTAGTTGCTGAATCTCTACTGCTCCCACAGTGTTTGACATCAAATCTTTCATCTTTTTTTCATAATGCTCCTTTAAACGGGTTAGGTCATGAGAAAGCTACAGTGCATAAAAAAACACAGTCTTTTCAAAAAGCTGTAGTGAAAACTTCATGCTAAAGCACTCACATAAATCATGCACATGTACAAAGACAACTAAGGGAAAACTATCACTGAAAGGAAACTATCACTAAGGGAAAACTATCACTGAGGGAAAACTATCACTGAGGAATATCCAGTCTGAGGAAGAGACCATCGCTCCTGGGCACTGCTGAACTCCGCCAGGTGCTTTTCTGCAAAGACAGGGGCAAAGCTACTTAGACTAAGGCAACTATATTGTTATATATATTAATTGTATTGTGCCTATCTCTTAAAAACCACATGGAAACAATACATCAGCTTTAACCATAAGCATTATTCACTGGAGCACAAACCCTAGTCTGTATTTCAGACTATCCTTCAAAACAGTGAATCAGAAGAAAACTCGGAGACTGAAGAACCTGTGGAGATTGCTGGAACCTGAGAATATGGAAATTGACAGGGCAGTGAGTCAAGTAAAGAGGGATTAACAGGATTCATGTTCTTATAGTTTCCACATGCATCATAGCCTCATTGTATGAACTTGGGTGTAACCATCTCATGCATGAATATATTCATTTGCAAGGTAAGGAAACTATCACAGAGAAAGGAATGCTCTGGAATACTAATTACCATTTGTTAAACATTTTGACAAAGGTAGATAAAAGAGGTTAAAATGCAACCAGGAAAGAAAAAAAAAAGAGGAAAATATTTGGTGTGCCCTATAATAGAAGTCCAGTGGAAAACCCCTCAGCTTGATATCAACAGAGTTATTTGGCAAGAGATCAAAGCCTCAGGAAAGAGAAGGCCTACTGAGTTGAAAACAAAGTGACAGGCTCAGTACACAGCTCCACTAGGCTGGGTCAGGATGCAATTACCTCTAACATGATGATTCTGGCATTACAGCAGTAAAATGAAGAATAGCATCTGGTTCACAGAAAAAAAAAATATAACAGCACAAAAACTTTCCCTTCTTAAAATAAATTAGAAAATAAATAGAATAATAAAAATCATAACAGCAAGGTGACTTATAGGGAAGTCATACTAGCACTTAAAATTAAAAATCCCACTTCCGACCTTGCCATACTTTTCAACGAATACTAAAATTATTAGTAGGGCAAGGCTCTGTAAGGCTACAGAAGGCAATGTTCTGGGAAAATAGTGTAATATCCATCACAAGACCAGAGGAGAAGTGAGAGTTAGTGCAGGGAATGGATACAAAGAAAATGTACATAAAGAAGAGCAGTATCTGCCCATGTTGAAGTGCCAGTGCAGGGAGGGCTGGGGTTGGTTTTTTGGGTTGTTTTTTTTTGTTTGTTGCAGGGTTTTTTTCAGCAGTCTTAAAGTTTCTTTCCTCATTCTCTGCTAAAACCCTTCCTTAATTTCCCAATTTCTCCATTTCCCAGCAACCCATCCAGGTGCAGGAGCCTCTCTGACTTTTCCAGCCACCAGCTTAAGTGCTCCTCACCTGCTCACACCCATCCTCACAAGGCAGTCCCCAAAACCTTTTGTCACAGGCCTGAAAAAGCAATCTGCAGGGTAGTACCCAAGGGCACACCCCTCTTCTCTCATCACTCCTCAGTCTCTTGCTCAGATACTCTGTGTCTGGTCCTGGTACAATCACATTCAACCACTGCCAACAGTTTTCCATGACAGATCAAAGTATACTAAGAGTTTAGGATTTCCAAAAAATGGCTTTAAACCTTGCTTTGTTCACATACGTAAATAGATTCTTATGACTTTGGCCAAAGCTGAAGCTAGGGATAACAAGAGAAGATTAAAAAAGAAAAAAAAAGTAAAAAGAATAAGTCAGCAGTCATGTTAAGGCTCACACATCCACATGCAAAGTAATTTCCTAGTCTCTTCCAAGGTATTTAAAAGAAAAAATAATCAAACTCATTTCTTTCAGTCTTGTTAAAAAAGAACCAAACAGCTGCAACAGCTTAAGTATGCCTAGTTAGAACAAAACCAAGACAAAAACAGAGGATGAGCACTCAGCTTACAAAGTGCCGATTTGGGTGGGCTCAAGTCTTGCAGTTAACTGCTCACTCCCTGATTTCCAAAGGACAGGCAGCAAGGATGGAGGTGAGGGGAGAGCAGATAACATATACTGGAGGGAAACACAGACAGCAAGGCTTTTATTCTCATCAAGTTAAGAAACCTGCAAAATGAAAATAAGGGTCCCATGAAATAACAACCTGTCTGCAACCCCTGCACATTCCAGCTACGGGGTGCTGAGGCAGCTCACAACACACAGTTGCCCAGTGGCTCTTACGGGGTCTGTCCCTAGTCAGCACAAACGGGGGAGCCTCTCACAAAGAGGATACACAAGGGCAGAGGAAGAGGAGCCAAGGTGAAGAGAAGGCAAGAACCCAGGGCTGCTATCCCTGTGCAATGGGAGAGATGCAGTGAGGCACCTGTGGCACCTGTGTCTTCCTGCCTCCTGCAGAACAGATGGAGCCAAAGGTGCTAGACCTGAGAAGTGTCACAGATTTTAATCATGCCACCTCACTTCTCTCTGAACAGGTAGAATTCTCTTTGATTACAACTATCTTTTACTTTTAGAAGTTTTTTAAGCTCAGCCACTTTCGAACAAGCAAACTGATGCAGATCTAAGACAGAAAGCTAGGGAACACTGGCAAAGGGTTTTTCGACTTTTGAGCACCTAATGATCCCAAACCTTCAATTCTTGTCAGACTTGTCCCCATTTATTCTTCACATTATTTTCCACACTTATTTACCACTTACACTAATCTAGCAACTGCAAAAGAAGAGAAGGTGAGGAACTGCCCATAAGCAAAAAAAATCTCTTTTTTATCTAATTTGAGTTTTTTCATTTTTGTAAGAAGCTTCTGTTTAATATTTTCATCTTTTTTCCCTGTTACATTATGTCAGTACTGTCACTTCCACACTGATTCATATCTCCTTTAAAAAGATGCTGTTGGCATTTGAAACTGAATTGAGGAAATAAAGAAATACAGGTGAGAAAGGCAAGTATTGGAAATCAGGATAACCAATGACTGAGCAGCACTGCAGAATACATACATGTCTCTTGTGGTTGCCTCGCAAAAAGGAGCTGGGAATTCCATTTTTACACTCAGAATCACTCTGTTCTTCATAGCTTTCAAATTCACTTGAACTCCACCCATATTCCAGCGAGCTGTTTCCACCATCATCACCATTTTCAACATCATCATAAATCATTTCCTCTGCAAGAATTAAACCAAAATTCAAAAAGCTACACTGAAATATATGTTTGGTCGAACACCAAAAAACTTGTTCTGGATATGCTATAAAGAATTGTACAGACTTTTGTATGCACACTAAAAAATCTGAATTAAATACAATACTCAAATAGCCAAAGCAGATTGTCTTTGTTGAAACAGAGTACTAAAGAAAGTGTTATAGGTACACACCACGATCCTTTCAGAAACATGTGCTATTCAAATGTCACAGTTGTGTCCAGATCCCACAAAGATTCAGAATTTCAAAGGAAGTTTAAACTGTAGCTGTGAAAGCACATCTGCACTAAGAAGCATCATCCTTCCATTTGTAAGCTTGCCATTTGTCCCTAGGGACATCAGCTCAAATGATAAATGCTAAAGTATTCCAAGAATCAAATGAAAATGTCACTACTTCCAACAAAACATATCAGACCAAAGTAGCAAGAAACAATGGTTTTATGACTCATCACCACCAGTCACTGGAGGCCTCCCACACCTGGCAGCTACCTTGCTCATAATTTACTCTAAAAATTTGAAGTATTAACCTTTTCAAGACATAACCTTTTCAAATCTATATTGCAAAGGCTGACTAAAGTACCTCCCGTTAAAGACACGGGCCTTTCCATTGGCACAGATGTCAAGAACATAAAACTTACTCAAAATAAAATGGAAAATTTAGACACAATTGCTTATCAGGAAACAGGAATGCACTCTACCTGCAGCATCATTTGTCATTACAAGTAGAGAATTGTGTGGACACTTGCCATGGCACAACACTTCTGCCAGAGATCGCTATTGTCAGAAGTTATGATGCAACATTTACAACTGTCTCCTATTAAACTCAGTAAACAGCAGCTGTGCTTTTAAGATTGATGTTTCATTTAAACAGAGAAAAAATATATACTCAAAAGAAAAGCTGCCATGTTTTGCACATCCATCTAAACCCTGGATTTTATTATCAACATTAATTAAATTCTTTATAATCAACACAGATTCTAGACTAATTTGGAAGATTCCGATTTTTTTAAAAAAAAATTAAATCCACTTGCAGATCAAGACTGTCCTTAAAATACTTGTACTGAAGAAGACATCTTAGTGGTAATCTATCACAATGAGTAACTTAAAAGAACCATCATAGTAAATTAAAATAAATCAAGATATATGCAAGTCTAATTCCTGTGCTGTCAGCTTTGGGGCAGGATTTACCCCATGACTGAGTGAATTTACCTTGTCCATGTGCTAATCTAGATTGTCTGACTGAAACTTATTTTGGAATAGTTGTGTCTCCCTGACAAAATATACAAATAATAAACATCAAGATGATGAATGTACGAAGATGAAATTTCCCTTACTACCTATTTCCTCAGAATCTTTTAATGTCTTTGGGGGAAAAATGGAAATCAAACTTTTAATCAATGTCTCATGGGTTAAGCTAAAGATTCTGACCAATATGCTCAGCAGAACTCTGCTCCATATCCCATATCCTAGCTCAGCCACCTGGGCCTGGTGTATGTGTTTCCTGACTGATAGCAACAGTGCAAACATGTCCCTGCTCAGAGTAACACAGTCCACTGAGGGAACTTCCAGTAACAAGCATTCAAGCCATGAATGTAACACAATACTTTCCAATAATAAATTCCCCCCCACCCCAAAAAAAAAAAAATCAGTAATAATTTATAAAACACCTTGCCTGAACACTACTAAGGACAAGAAATGAAACTGTTACAGCTTTAAAGATTAATATGGTTTTCACACAAGAAAACTTAAACGTTTTCTTGATCCATTAACAATTTCAGTATCAAATACCTACACTCTCTGAGACCCATGACGAGTAAGATGCTGAACTACCAATAAGCCAATTCACTCAAACACAAGATCAGTCAGTAGCAACTGATCTTTAAGCAGACTTCACTACACCCAAAAACTGCTAAACAAACCTGAGCAAGAACTCAATGAAATATGCTCCTTGAGCCCTAACTCCATCATACCCAGTAAGGGTAAAAATCTTGACTCCAGCAACTTCTTTGAGATCTGTTCTGCCCCTCCAAACATGGTCACAACCATCAGGAGTGGAGCACTTCCAATCCAAAATAAAACATTTCTGTAGAGTCACAATAAGGATGGTGAACAGCCACTCTGAACCGTCTCTTCCATCTATCAAGCATTTATATATTGAAGGGAACTTTCAAGGAAAGAGCTTCTCTCTGTAACTATGACAATGATACATAATCATACATCAATTATTTAAAACACCCTTTTTCTACAGCTACAATGCTGTAATTCTCTAATATGCAGAATAATCAAGCATTTGGGACAGTATCTATAAAACAAAGCAGAATTCAGCTTCTGAGAGGATCAGTATAGGAGATAGTCTTTTAAGTGTTAGTATAATTCTGAACTTTCTAAGACCTACCAATTATTGACACAATGTTAATTCCATTTACATATATTTTAGGTACTTAACAAACGTATCTGTTTAGTATACATGCATATAATTCCATTTTACAGTGCTTTCAGCATTACAAAGACCTCAAACCTGGTTCAGATTCTGAATCTTCTCTTGGCACATCATCATAAATTACTTCATCTGGGTCTAAAATCAAGACAGGAAAAAAAAAAAAAAAACCAAATGAGAAATTTCCTAGAATTTGAATGAGACCAAGAGTTTAAGAGGCATTTGGACAAAGCCCTTAAAGTGCCTTTAGCTTTTGGTCAGCCCTGAAATGGCCAGGCAGTAGAAATGCTGTAGGTCCTCTCCAACCAAAATATTGTATTCTATTTTAAAAAAATTTGGTTATATAGACATATATGAACACAATGGATGTGACTCACTTTCCACTAGCATTTTCCTTGCACATCTAATCATTTAAATATTGCAATAATGCACAAAGCAGTATATGGTATTCGTGAAATTTCAGAGTTTTGTCTGCATTGTTTATGATGACCTTTGGTAGCCTGAAAACAAAAATCCATTTCAAAAGCCAGTATTTCTCCCTCCTTCTTACAGAAGTATGGTATGTTCTGTGCCTGTTGAAGGCTGCTCATTGCCTTACTGAATGGCTATAGAAAAGCTGTAATTGACCTTTTAAAAAGAACCAAAACTAAATAATGTAGTGATCATCAAAGTACATTAAGAGGCAGAATGACAATGTAAATTCTTCAGTCACTTCATGAAATATGTAAGATTAACCTCTAGCCCAGTGGGAATGGCTGAGAATAGGCAGGATAACCTGTCCTCAAACCACACAGTCTCTGTTCTGGTTTAAAATGCATCTATCAGCCAAGAATCAACAGGACACACCCAGGCAGTGGCAATTCCTTCCTTTCCAACTCCTTCAAGTAATTATTTGCCAACTACTGCACAAGAAGAGCAATTTCAAATACAGTTGCAGATCAGAATCTGGAGCTTATTTCCACTTACTTCCACTGCACATGCATTGATGGAGCCAAGAATCTTCCACCTTCCAAAAGGTGAAAAAGTGAATGCTAACTTTATTCTAAAATACAATTTTATTACACTGTTGAATGTTCCAACTGGTACAGCTTGGTTCTGGCAGCTATCTGAAAACACACAGTAAAAGTGAACACAGACATTCCCATAAAATCTGCTTGTGCACATAGACACACACATACTGCTGATCACAACTTAAGACTGAACACCTTCCACAGCTGTACTTCAGTACTCACTGGTACTTACTTTCCATCCATGCTGTATTTTCAGGATCTGCAACCCATTTGGCTAGGGCATCATCCTCTTTTTTGGTCTGGTTATCTTCACTTGAAAAAGAGGCATAAAATAAAAGAACTAAAAATTACACCACAACATTTTTGAACATCCATGAATACAAGGCAGTAAATATCTTTCTGCCTTCTAGTTTCCACTCCAAGGCTGCTGATTACTCAAAAATATTGCTTCAGTACATAGTTGGGTGATGAATAATCTATTCTGTTTAATAGTTTGAGAATTTTAGTCAGAAAATTGAAAACACTTTCTTTACATTTTTTAAAAAATTGAAAACAATTTCTTTACAATTTTTAAAAATACTCTGCTTTTGAGTTCATCTACAAGAACACAGGAAATTCTCTCAGAAACAGTGAAGTGAGAGCTGCTTTTTCATGGTGAATAGGACTACAGACATTCTGGGTTACATTTGGAGCCATCAGGCAAAACTGTTATCCTGCTCCACCTGGTGCCTCTCTAGCAGCTTGTCTAGTTTTGGCTTCTCAACACTCCCCTGCTAGAGAGCTGTGGAGAAATTCAAGCTACCTCTAGAAAGATGTAGAGACACTGAAGTCAGGGACTAAAGCACCTGGTTTACAAGGAAGAAGATAAAAGACATGGTGATTATTTAGTCTGGTTGTTACGGGGTGATCCAAGAGCAGCTACAACTATCCAAAAGATAGCTACAGAGGTGATGGAATCAAGGTTACTTTTTTTTTTTTTTTGTTTAGGCTTGTTTTGGGGCTTTTTTTTTTTTTTTTTTTTTTTTTTTTAATGCCAGACAAAGAGGGAATGGTCAACAGACTGCCCACTGGAAGATTTGGTTTGGACATTTGGAGAGGTAGGGGGAAAGGCAGTACAGCAGGAAAGACTGCTCAGGGAAGCTGCAGCACCTCCATCCTTGGAGGGTTTGAAGGCTCAGCCAGCAAGGTCATGGTTTATCTGATGGAGTACTGGCAGTGGTCCTGTTGGAAATAACAGGCTAGACAGTCTCCAACAATCTGTTGCATCTGACATTGCCATCACTCTATAAAAATTCAACCCATTGTGTCATGCAGTTACACACACCAGTGCTGATTTTAGTACAGAATTACAGGAATAAGAAAGTGAAAAAAACCAAATCAATGAACAGCCAACAAACATCACACAAGGTGATTTTGCATGATCAAGCATCACACAAGCAAAATAAAATATTTATCAAATGCAAGCTTTCTTAGGAATTAAGGTTTTACAAATCATTAAAACATGATGAACTAGCAATCACCTATTCTGAGGGTCCTCCAGGTTTACAGAATTATAATGACATTCTTCGGTTGCTGACTGTGTACCTGCCAAGTAGAAAAAAAAAAAGAAAAAGAAAATGCTTGCAATAACACATCAGTTTGGCTCAAATGGCACATTTTAGCATAAGAAACTGATTTTACTAGTTCATAGCTAAAGAACCATTTCTTCTTTGTAATAGTTTTATTCTTACACCTGTTCTTAAAAAAATACAAGTTCCTTCACACCATGCATTTTTGAAAACTAAGCAATTCAAAGACACAGCCATTTGTTAGAAGATCTGTTTAGAGGAAATTAAAATGCCTGATGCATTTAATTCTATCTATCAAACATATTCCTATACAGGTAATAAGGACCACACAAATATTTGCTTTAACTTGACAGTATTCCTAAAAGGTAAAGGCTGGAATAAAGATTGGAATTATAGAAGAATTCTTGTCTAGCTAAAGAAAAGTATATTCAAAATACGAAAAAGAAAAAGGCAGGATATGGGGAGCTTTCTTTTCGTACTGTCTTGAAATTAAGCTGTCAACTCTCTTAATTCTGGTTACAAAATGAAACTCTTGTTTCTGTAATAATCCATAATTATTTCTCTTTCTAGTTTCTTCTTCTGTCTTAAAATTGTACTAGATGACATAGAATTCATCAAACCATCAAGGGAAAAATTCCACAGCAACTCTAAATCCACAAGAATTGGAAAATACATAAACAGAAATATAGGAAAGGGAAAGAAATAGAAGAGATATATATAGATGCATATAGAAAAGGTAAAAGGGAGATTAATTTTGCCAGGAACTAGAAAAAAAAATCAATAAAAGATATGAGAAGAAACCATTTGACTTGAATACTGAACTCCGGATCTGGAAATGATTTCATTACGTTAAAAAGGAATTAGCATTAATGATATTCACCCAGGGTGAGCACTATACAGGAAAGGTACCTGAGATTAACCAAGGATTCCCCTTTGAATAAAGTAAGGTGTGTAAACACAGTACCTTCTTCATCTACAGAAACACTGCGTATGATGACAGGACTGGAGTATGCTGGCAGTATCAAAGGTAAGTTGGATGGCACAGCATATCCGCAAGGGACAGGAACGGAATATCCACCGGACAAGCTGGGACTTGCACATTCATCTTGGGGACTTGGTTCTGGTGACGAGGATGGATCCTTATCTTGGATTGGGGAAATATTTATGACTGAGTAGGGATTTACTTTGGCTGGAGTGCCTTCTGCAGCAGGTTGTGATGTTTGCAGCTTCTCACTGTTTTCTAAATTATCAGCTCCTTTAGTTGAAAGATTAAACAAAAATACAAAATTTAATTTTTTTATACCTGCTCAAGCTGCTCTAATAACTCTTTGCAAGTATGCTAAACACTGACCTATCTTTACTAAACAAATTGCTTACACCCTATGACTCAAAATTCCCACACAGTAGGGCCAACATCCCCATTTTACAGATGAGCAAAGAAAAGCAGAATGAGTTCACAAAGATGCCTATGGAAAAACAGTAACTTAACTGACATAATAACTCATAAACACAGGTCAAAATAGTCTTAAATCCTAAAGGTTAAAATCAGCATTCTAGATGAATTTGAATCCTACAAACACAAGAAATATTTTAGGGGTAGTCATGAGGACAAGGAAAGTTTCACTGAGGTACAGCAGAACCACAGGCCCCTCTGAAGGGAACTGCAGAACTGCATCCCAAATGATCAAATGATTTTAAGCTGTAAGCACAACTTCACAATAAGGGTGAGCAAGCAACAGATGCTCAGGGGAAGATAGTGCTTAAGTTACAGGTTGTCAAAATGCACAGTACCTGAAGAGTTATCTACCTTTAATTGCTATAAGCACAATGAATCTATTTACAAAAGGAAATTGGATCAAAATAAGCAAAATCAGCTGTTAGCAATTTAAGCAGAATACAGCAATTTCCAGACTATACCTCAGCACTGGGAACATCTGTATATGCAATAAAAAATGTTTCAGTATTTAGCAAAACTCTGTTTATGAAGGAAATTCATACATTCAAACTCCACTTATTTTATGCACAGCATCTCAAGCTCAGCAACCAGCAAATTTAGCTGTGAAACACCTTATCTCAAGACATTGGTGTGCCTTAAGACCAGCAAGGATATACATTTTTCCTGTAGCATGACACTCAGACTACGTCCAACCCATTGGTGTGGAAATCACACTTGAATGGGAAACCTCACAGGATTCAGACGTGATGGTCACTTGCCCTGTCAGATCTACCTGTTAGATCTACCATGATTGTAACTAGCAGGAATATTCAAAACACCTGCAGCGTATTTCCATGTGTGAGAGACTGGACTATGACTCAAAATAAATTGACAGCTTTCAGAGGTTCCTGGGTGCTTTGCTGAGGCCCGGTTTGCAAGCCCACAAAGAAAAGACAGTGAGTTTTTTGGTGTGTAATGACAAACCTCTGGTCAAGACAGAGGGGGTGAACTTATCACCACCAGAGGCTACAAACTGGGCTCTGAGGCCAGTAAGAGGCAGACCTTGGGGAGACAGTATCATGGCAAACTGCATTCCCTTACACACACACGTTCCTCCTGGGAAGCTCACATTTACATGTAAGCTTACTGACATTGGAGGCAGCTGCCTTAGAAAAGCTCATAAACTCCCAATGACCACTGAAGTGCCCTCAGACTCATTTCTGACACCCTCCACCAGCGAACTGCACCTGATCAAAAGATGATCAAAATCACAGAGGAGGTGCTTGGGCACTCCCACCTGAACCTGAGAGTGTATTAACCCACCAGACTTTGTATTATGTGGGCTTTTTCACCCACCTCTGACAGATCAAGACTTTCACATGTCACTTCAATCAGGTCTCATCACAGATCCATGGGTGGTAATTATGTGTCTTCCTACTCTTACCCTTTCTTTTTCCTTATATTTTTTCTTAAGAGGGTGGCACTTCTATGCTTTGATATCGCCATATTACTACATGTAATAATAACCAAAATGGCTACATATATGCTTTCCAATTCAACCAAATTGTTCCAAAGTAAACCCAGCATGTATATTTACAAACAGGAACCATTCAGTGTCATTTCACTCTAATCTGCTCTAAGTGATCCAAAAAGTAGAGCCTGAGTTACCCTCAGGGGCAGGCCATAACACCATGGAAAAGTCTTGTTAAAGTACTTTTATTGCACTGTCAAGAAAAGGCATCTTATGATGGCATCTTATGATCAGTCTTGATTATTTAGCCCAGTGGAGGTACAGACCAACAGGCTGACTTACCTGCAGCACCAGCCTCTTGGGGCTCTATGTTATTTCCAGGGCCAGGAATAGGTCGTACAAGGGCTTGCCTGTCTGCTTCTGGTATCTCATCTCCACTGTCAAAGTCAAACTGTTCTCCCTCATCCTCCTCTTCATCATTCGGACCCGTGGCTTTTGGTTCATGTTCTAGAACTGTGCAAAGACACACCTTTGGTTGTTTGCTCTTAATAATGATCTCATGGGACCAGTAAATGCTCCACATTACAAATGAAGCTTACACAATGAACCCTTAGAATTTTAGGTTACTGGAACAGAACAAAAGTTGATTGATGTGTTGATAACCTCATGCAGTTTTCAATAAATCCTTTAGTGCAAACAAGGAAATTACTTGAAAATAAATAAACAAGTAATAATGCAAATACACTTGCTTTTTTCATAATGAGCCAAAAGATTTTTAGAAGAACATCTAAACAGCCATTTTTAAAACAAGAAAAGTTCACCGATTAATTTATTTGCACAGGGACTTTGCAACTTTATAATTTCAAGTCATTTTTCCTTTTTAAATCAAACTCCTAAGTCTATTCTTTCCTAACAGTGCCCAAATACCAGTGACAATAACTGAGTTCACACGCTCCAACCGAGACCAGCAGATTGTTTTTCCTACTCCAATCTGAGACAGTTTTAAACCAAGGACCTCAAGCAACATGCTATTAGCCCTATTACCACACACATGTGCACTCTGGTGGAGGGAGGGTGTGGAACCTTTGAAGAAGAAATGGCTGAAATAATGACACCCTAATATGAATAGGAATTGAGGTTTTTTCCTCTTTGCTTTTGAAGATACTGTAGCACAGATTTGGCACTGTACATCGGGCTGGGGAGAGGGAGCAGGAAGAAGTATACAGCAGTTTCTCCCATGCCATTGGGGAAAACCCATGAAAATTTAAACCCCTTCATGTCCTACAGCATAAAACAATATCTTAAAAAAGATAAAGATGTAAAGACACAAGTACATAAAAACTTATAAAAAAAGTTATAAAAATTTACCCGAAGGTGATAAGGTTCACCCCCCTCCCTCAGGTAACACAAAATGAAAAATAAGTCTTGCAAACACAATTGATCTGCTGCATTGTGATGATGTTATCAGCTATCCTACCATCCAGGACACATTTTTTATCTTTATGATAAAACTCACAACACCCCAAAGCTCTAGACTGCTTAGATTGTCATGGTAATCAGCATTCCTGCCAAGGCTTCTGTTTCTTCAGGAAAGCTTAGCTCAGGCTGAGCCAGCATATTTTACCACAGCCACAAATAACAAGATCTTTCATGCAGCCTCTCTGCAGGAGAAAAAGTGAACTAATTGCAAAAACAGTACAGAATAAAAAACACAGGTTATCCTGCATTTATTGTCATGTGTTATGGCTGAGGCAGCAGGACATTTAATTTCATTTGGATGAATTCCTTTCAAAAATTCTTCTGTATGAAGTCAGGCTTCTCATTTTTGCTTTGTCCATTAGCAATTCTTTTTTTCCTGAAAGATGCAAGAAATTCTTCAGAGCTCGTCCAAGTGATTAAAGACAAACATGGCATTCTTCCTAATTCAGCATCCATCTGACTAAACTGTAATACTTTTTGCTTGACTGTGTAATGGGGAAAAGAAACAAAAGAGGGGAAAATGTCTTTTCAATATGATTAAAAAAAACCAAAATGGATGTGACATCTAATTTTTTTTCTGATATGGCTGTTAACACCACCCCCCTTCATTCATTTCAAAACATTTACTTTGCATCATAGACAAACAAGGCACAGAACCTGATAAATGGGCACTACAGCCTGGAGAGATCCCATAATCGCACCACTGAGGGGACAGCGGGTTAGGATTACAAAAAGAGACAAAAAGAGAAAGAATACATTGTCTGTCAGAGAGGGTAGACAGGAGCCAAACAAATATCCTCAGTTCAGAAAGTTTTAAAACTTTATTTCAGCTCTGCATCACTTCTACATTTGCTTAATTCTGCAGCCTTTTAAATTTACAGATACCCTCCATCTCACATTTAATAAAACTATTCTCTTTAAGCTTGTAATATCAAGGGCATACTATTTCAGTTGATGGAAAAAGTATTTAAACAAAAAAAAAAAAAATTAAAAAAAAAAAAAAGGATGAGGGCTTTTTGCTTCAACTTAAGAGCTGATCAGAACTGCAGATAAATACATTCTATGTCACAAAAAACCAGACAAATTCTTGTTTGGAAAATACCTATTTTCCACAGTTCTTTGTGTTATGTCACAACAACACACAGACAAAAGCTCTTTTTAAGTGCTACAATTAGGAAGACAGACTGCAGCTAGACCCAGGCTGAATCTGGCTAATAAGCACCATCACAGATCTTGCAAAATTTCATGCTCATGAAGAAAGCCCCAGTTCCTCCAACCCCTTATCTGCAAATCAAAAGGATCAAGCCAAAAACTGCATGAAGCAACTGTTCTTGCAGAAAAAAAAAAAAAAAAGAAAAGGCAGGGAGAGGGGGAGTTTGGTGAATGAGCGTGTGAGGGCAGGTTTTCAAAGGCCCCCTCCCTTGCAAAAAACACACAGAGGAAACTGGTTTTTTTTACCATCATTTTAAAATGCAGTAATTCTTTTTCTGAAGTAATAATCACACATTTCTTAGAATGACAGTGTCTGTCTTGAATTACTTCAAATAATTAAATTAGTTACTAAAAATCCAATTTTCTCTTTCACCACTACTAACATCCTTAGCTTTCTGTGTGCAACCAGAGCAATGGGAATACACAATTTCATTGAACTTGCTCATCTTATGGCAATGCCACTCTGAGAGCTCTGTAAATGCTTCAGGGAAATTCTTACATTTCTAAAAATTTACATCCAAAAAAAAAAATCTGATATAATGGAAAACTGTCTTCAAGTTAAATTAAGTATGAAAGTGCTAATTTAGAATCAGAAAAAGGAACACATGTTCTCATAACTGTGCACAGCACACAGATTTATGACTTTTTCAGTGCTTTGTTATCCAGTGAAATGACATTTCTTAAGTTTACTTCAAAAATAAGCTCACTTAGGTTGTGTTTACAGAGACCTGCTGGGGCATAAGCAAATTTAAAAAATGTTTAGTTGCTCTGCGACTTGCAAAGCATTCCTGCCACCATTTGACTTCCCATCTATTATCCTCAAATTATTTATACTTCAATGTAATATAGCTAAGGAGTTAAAAGAGTGACATTAATTTTAAAGCCCAGATTAAGTCACTGAAGCTTCATTAATAGTTTTCTTAAACAGTTTATTTTAGTGACACAGAAGTAAGAGAAAATAGCTCTGCATGTACTATCAAGTGCACTTTGAATACAATATGAACACACCAGAAAAGAATAAAAGCTCCCCAAATGTCTGTCCCCTCTCGCAATCTTGTAAATCCATGATGACCCAGAAGTCCACTGAAAAAGTCAACTTTCTTCCATTAAAAACCATGATAAAGGAAGAATGAAATAGAACCATAACACAAACAGTTGAGCACAGTAAGAATAAGCCTGGATACCCTGGACGTAAACAGGCATGCTGCCACCAAGAAATATGAATCATTTATGCTTTAAGGTTTGAAAAATATTTTTAGAAATGGAAAATTTCTTAATTTCCATTTATGGAAAAATTATACAGAAGCCTTCTAAGAAATGGAACAAAAAGCAGAAATGTAGCTATTATTTCCTTCATCAGTCATGGTAGTAGCGACTAAAAATATTTATCGAGTTCTTTAAATATAAGTGTACAATGCTTCAAATGGCACATATGTAGTCATTATTTAGTGAAAAATATGAATACAATACTAAACTAAACTAAATACGAATACAATACTAAAACACACTGGCAGGAGTTGCCTGCTCTTATTACAACATGCAGTTTTAAAACATTTATCTTTTTAATACATTATTTTGGATTGCAACAAGAAACTTAGAACTGCAAAGACCTACCTTCCTTTCAAATGAATTCCCCAAATGTTTCAACTTTCTACAAACACTTGAGTATCTTTAAATACATAAGAAAATATTTTTAGTAAAAAATTTAAAATGCTACTACTACAGAATATTTTTAGGTATTATAAAATGTGTTAACTTGCACAGGTTACAAGTCAAAATAAACTGTCAGACATAGCAATCAAAATGTTTATTATTTATCCTTGATACATTCCAGAGATTTCTCTGATGAGATACCCTTCCCTTTACAAACCTGTATTTCTATTGCCGAGCTCTTTATGGAAGTGTACAATAGAAATAAGTACTGAAAGCATACAGATACCAGGAAACAACTGAATTTTTAAAGGTATCATTATTTTTGTAAAACTAGCCATTTGGGGCCAAATATATCCTGCTGACTGTGCTCCAGGATAAACGGGATCTCAAGCTCTTCCCTTCTTATTTCAGAAGACATTTAATAGCAGAGGTTGGAGTTTGTCAGGATGGTGAACCTTGTGCTAGGAAACACTCGTGTCTGCAGAAGCTTCCAGGCTTGGCCACCTTTGTAAAATAAAAGCTGCCTCATATTCAGCAGGAACTTGAAGACAGGTTTCAAGAAACTTGCCCACCACTGGACAGCCTCTTGTTTCTCCCAGCTTGAAAGCACTACTTAGGTTGCATTCCTACAGCTAGAAAGCAACGTGGTATTTTCAACCCACTCATCTCCCACTTGTGACCATTAATTCTTCAGTTCCAGGACAGAAAACTGCAGTTAAATATTCTTTCACTCTGGTACTCAGCTGACACATCGCTCTTCTGCCCTTCCTCAAAGGACACCTGCACCAGCGCAGGGAGATCAGTGAGGTGCAGGGCAGGAGGGATCCTGCAGGAGAAAGAAAGGCTGACCTGCAGAGCAAGTGCTTCTGCCAACACTGCCCCTCACTGACACTTCCCAGTCACATGGGACATCCACCAGTACACCACTGGCATCCATAGATCACCTCCTCACACAGTCACACAGGTGGAAAGTCTCTCTTTTGCTCGGGGAAAATAAACAGCTAGGACAAAACTGTGTAAGCAAAAACACATGAGTAAGCACTCCTTCCCATGGGAAGCGGATCAGAGCCCAGGACTTTCATTCCCCATGCACTCTCAGTTGTGCTAAGCTGGCACTGCAGGCAGCCCAGGTCCTTGTGCTACAAGCATGCTGCTAATTACACACAGTT